TCTCGTCGGCCAACTCCCGGTTGTCGTCGTCGATCAGCCATTCGAGTACCGCCTCCTCGTTCCGGAGGTCGCCTACCGGTGCCCACCATTTCAGTAAAAATGTAATATTAATTTTGGTACATAAGTCGAGTGGTGCGTACAAAATGTTCAGGTAATATTACTACCCAGATACAAATGAGTTTCTATAACCACCCATGTATCTATTTATTGATCGCACCTCCAAGGGTTGTGGGAAAGTGGTGGCACAGCGCCGGTAGTATCAAAATGTTTTGTGAAATACGTGAGACTTTAGTTATATTTTTTGTTTTTTTGGAAAGTTTTTTGTTTTAATTTTAATTAGACTTTTGTTTCGTTAAGAAATTTCTTTTTCTAATAAATGCGGCGATAATTATATGTATTGTAGGAGTCATACCGTCATATATGAGTGGATTTCCATTGCGGAAGTAGATGAGGGCCGGGTATGTCTTTATGCCGTAGCGTTTGGCGAGCGGTATGTCCTGTATTTTGACAAAATTAATGCCATATATCTCGCAGTCGTCGTCAATGTTCTCCAACTCATCCAACACTATATCACAGGCCCTACAGCTCGGCTTATCTGTACATTATATGTGAGATTCACTATTAGATACATATTTTATTTTTTGAATNGCCATATATCTCGCAGTCGTCGTCAATGTTCTCCAACTCATCCAACACTATATCACAGGCCCTACAGCTCGGCTTATCTGTACATTATATGTGAGATTCACTATTAGATACATATTTTATTTTTTGAATATAAAATTATTTTAAAAGTTTATTTTGTTATTTTTTGAATAATTAAAGTGTTTATGTAATTAACCCTTAAGTGCCTAAATTAGTCTTAGTATATTAGCATGCACAGAATAATTATTTTAAATTTTGAGTTACAAATTATTTTAAAATGCTATTTGAGTTCACTATCAAACCTGTAATTATATAATAGTTTTAATGCTAATTTTATTAAAAGGTTTTAATAAGTTTTCAAAAAAAGTAAATTTATTTGATTTATAAAATAAAGTTTTACGCATTGAGTGAAAAGTACGTACAGAAGAAGACCACCAAATATTGTGTCGTCTCAATGAGCTGTTCCAGGAGTTCCCGATTCACAGACTCGATGGTGTCCTCAGTCTTCTGTTGGACGAGCCATTGAAGGACGTCCTCCTCGGCCCTCATGTCTCCCTCGTATATACTGGGGATCTGGCGCTCGAAGTATATGAGCGCCGGTAGCA